TATAAAAAAATAATATATTTTAGATTATAAACATACTACTTAATTACTGCAAATCATTTATTTGTGTTTTTTCCTTTGAAACAATATCTGAATTTCTTTTTCTCAATAATGTTTATTATTTTTGCTATTTTACTTGTACTGACATCAACAAATATATATATGTAGTTTTTCTTCCAATTATATGTTATATTATATTTTCAGTTTAGGAAATAAGAGAAATTGCACAGCTAAATCAGGATGAAATAAGGATGGAAGATCACAATCATGTTATTTTTTGTCTGCTGAACAGCGAGTGGTGCGGTATTATAATGTAAGAACTATCCAATTGTTCCTGGCAAAGAACATGACTATAGTCTTTAGTTCCGCCATCTGTTCCTTATTTTTCCGATCTGACTCTGTTAGTTTTCTTTTTGATTCTCAAGATAAAAATGCAATGAGAGGAGGAAAGATTTGCTGTTGAAATTCAAGCGAAATTGTACAAGACGCCAAACAGCAATGAGAAAGATGAATTTAGTTGCGTCTAGCGACAAGATAATATTCCGATGAATATATATATATATATCAAATAAAAAAATAAATAATTCTGAATTGGTTGTAATTAAGTTTGATCTGTAAATAATATCTTTTTAATACAGTTTCAGCAATTTTTGGAATATATAAAATTGTTGTGTAAATTTTAACATTTTGAGTTCTCTCGATCTTGATATTTTATAAAAGTATGAGAACCATTATCTCATATTAATATATTATAAAAATATGAAAAGTACCTTAAAAGTTTAAGAAAAAGAGTAAAAACTTCTTTTCTTTACATTTCTTAGTATTTTTATGCTAAAGTTTTGAAAACAACTAATACTATTTCTTTGATGTTAATTGTAAGTAATTATCGGAAAGCAACTAATTTAAATTTTAAATAGTAAATATATTGCGTTATAGTAGCAGAAATGTGATGTAATTGGTACTTTAATAATGTGACGCTGCTCCTTTGTGCAAGACTTTTAAATAATTTGCATATAATGCAATATTAAATTCTAAACTATATTGTAACTTTCCGACCAAACATAACCATCAAGATACTTATTGTACTTAAAAAATGCGTTTGTGAAATGATGTAATTTATATTCGTTTTTACGCAAAATTACAATATATCATGTTGTTAAAATGCTGTTATTTTATTTTATAAAAACATTAAAAATTGTTTGCATAAAGATATAATGAAATGATATCTATCTCATGTAAAACAAAATGCAAATTTGTTATATCATACATATGCACTAAGAGGTATATATTCGTTACTTTAAAAAAAAATTTTACTTTTATAATAATATTATATAATACATTTAAACAAAATTTTATATAGTAGTCTTCCTATAAAGTAGAAGAAGAATTATTATCTACAATCAGTGTGACGCACAGTAGTAAAATAAAACACCAAGCATTTCCGTGTAGGTGAGTAAAAATAAAGTAAATAAAAATTAGCAAACATTTAATATATAGAATTGACAGTTAATTAATTATGAATTCCTCAAACAAAAAGCTCACACTGATTTGTCATATGGAATATATTTTATTGTTGGAGCAAGTTTGATTATACATATTAAGCATTATATTTGCAACTTTAAAAAAAATGTAATGTATTGTAAAACTGACATTTATTTAATCTGTCAGAATTTGTGAACTTTTTGCATATTCTGTATATTCTGTATTCATCACTGAGAGGATAATGAGAAAGGAAATCGTCATTTATGTGATCTATGTTCTTATGTTCAGCAATTAATTTCAATAATGGTATTAGAATGATAAACATTTTATTATTAACGTCATAAAAAATTGTAATGCGCAAACTCATTACTAACTTTATTGTTTTTCAACTCAATGACCAAGTATTTTTGCGAAATCATTTGAAATTCATTATGTCAATCGAATCTTTAATGATGCATTTGATTTTGTGAAAATTATGTTTTTCCGTGATTTAATTTTCCGCGAGTTAGTATTCTATATCAGACTTTTAATAATACTGTCACTCTATCGAATGCGCTTACTTTTAATTTATAAGCAGTGTGTGTGTGTGTGCATGCGCACAAAATATATGCTAATTGCATTTATTGTGTTTGTATATATGTTTCTCTCTCTCTCTCT